GGGATAGGAGAAATTGTTGCAGTCATTGGTGGAAACAATCTACTATACTCTTCCAAACACAGGCACCATTAAAAATAACAAAATCAGAAATATTAGTTCAAAAAAAAAAAAAAAAAAAAAAAAAAGAATTGAAGCATATTTAAATAGTGACCTCATTCATTATTTTACTAATTGTTTTTCTCTCTTTTGATCATGAGTCTGAGTTTGGTCTCTTGAGCTGTTTTCACCTTTTTAAACCCACAACAGAAACTACTGTGATAGCCTGGAATGCAAGATGCAAGACAATTCCATATGCTTTAGCTTAAGTGTTGTAAAGGGTCAGAGAAATATTCTGATAAATTGAAAGAAAAAGGATCTTACAGCCTCAAAGTAAAATTGTGAAGACATTCTCATGGATAAGCATCTAGCTAGTGGGACTGGAATATTTTGCTAGTTTCTCCATTTGTAAAATTTCCCAACCCAAGGCACAAAAAAGAATAGTCTTCAATATCAGCTGTTCAGATATTCCAACCAATAGGAAATTAAATAACAAATTGTGGCATTTACATATGAAGATGACAGTTTCCTCACTTAAATACAAATTATTAGACAATGGACTAATTGCTGAGTTGAACAGAAATTAGGAGACAGAAATATTTCTAACTTTTATTAAAGTAAGCTAAAGAACACATTCAGGTTAGTTATATATACAAAGTACCCACAGTATTTAATCTCATATGTGGGTTTTCTACATATCTTAAGCTGAATTTTAAAAAATACCTTAATATTATGTATATTTAACATAATACAACTAAAACTGCTTTGTAGTGAATTGTTTCTAGTAGTTTAAATACCTTTATGCTGATTATCAAATGCTAATTAACATACAGCTACAATTTCAAGTGACTTGAAATAGGCCAGTTTCTATACAAATATGTTCTAAAATCATAAGTAGAAACACAGCATCTTCAATGTGACAATAATTGAGATAGTCCATGAGTAGTGTTCACAACAGAAAAGGAAAATGTTAATTTTAAAAATACAAATCATTTACATGCCTGTGGAGTAGGATTTCCAGTTCTCAGCTTGAGTAAATTATGGATGTAAATAAAAAGGTGACTGGGCCTGAGTCTCTGCTGCTGAAATATAAAATATGTATAATTCAGATATATTTATAGAATTCCATTAAGTTATCCTTGACTGAAACTACTAAAAATTAAGTGTTCTTTGCCTTGATGGATATCTTAATATTTCCCAGCATATGTGTCATTTCCAAGCTAATTAGAGTTAGATTAAACCATCAAAGAATGATTACATATTACTTTGCATTTTAAAAACACACCTGTTTTACTTACATTAATTAAAAAAAAATCTAGGGATAATTAGCTTCAAAATCCACTTTCATTTGTAAAATGTAACCTCTGTTAGATGGTTGTCTGTAAACTACTGACTTGATAGAACTAGTAGGGTATAGTCGTGTGTGTATGTGTGTGAGTGTGAAAGAAAGAAAGCAAGAGAGGGATGAGAGACAAAAAGATATCTCCTGGCTCCTGGCTAAATCATAAACACCAAAATTTTATCTTGATACTGTTGATGAAAGCCTCCTCTGGTGGGAGATATGTCTAGGACACAAACACTGTACTACAGAGAATCACGGAAGTTTAGAGCTGGAGGGGAGCCTTAGAAATCATCTAGCTAATCTATCTTCTTAGTTTACAAATGAGAAAACAAATGCACAGAAAAGTTACATGCTGTGCTAAGGCTACACAGAGAATTACAAGCTGGCCTAGAACCCAGTTGTCCTAAATCCCAGATCAAAGAATCTATTATTCTCTAACTACCACTCTTAAAGACTTTTAGTCTTCTACTAAGGCAAAAATGAAGTCGTTAAGTTAATGATATTAATAGAAAGCAAACATACATCCCAGAACATTAACTCGTTAGTGGCATTTTTCCTTATGTTCTAAGTATATGCATTAAAAATCTGTATATTTGTGATTAAGCTAATATTTTACACTGACTCCCCAGTTTTTTCAAGATATTACTGTTTTGTGGAATTTTAGTATCATTTCCCTTCTGATGGTAAGCTGTAAATTAAAAACAAAAAATTTTTTTTTTGGAGAAATTCTGTGCCACTCAAATTGTTCTAAAACCAGGATTGGAAATCACTGGTGATGACAAATGACTAAGAAAGTGCCACCTTTTTGAAAAATTGGATTCCTATGACAAGTAAGCTAAAGGAGCATAAAACATCTTCAGAATTAATTTTTTTCCAAAATAACTTAATTTTTTATGTCTTAATAGTTTTGGAAATCTGGAAGAGAAATGATGAGCAGTAATATACCTAATTTAGAAGAAAAGAAATATACTTTCTGCTTCAACTCTTCCTTTCCTGAGAGCTTTGTTTTTACCCTTTCCTCAAACATCTCTCTAATCCCAAGGATTCAAAAGCCTCTTGAACACATCTTTTTAATGATTCAGTCTAGTTAAAATAATCTTCAAAAAATGACTTCCTAAAAGAGTTTCATGGTTGGGGCAATTTGGAACAATGCCATTCAAATATCACCAGGACCAAAGTAGAGACCAAAGACAAAGTCAAAGCACACAGGCTTCCAGGGCTAAGAGAGTTCTAATTAAATGTCCTTTTCTAGGGAGCTCTAAGAATAAGTAAATCTGGGCCGGCCTGGTGGCGCACTGGAGAGTGCGTCGCTTGGGAGTGCGGTGGCGCTCCCGCCGAGGGTTCGGATCCCATGTGGAGACCGGTTCCCGCTCACTGGCTAAGCGCGGTGCGGGTGCGACACCGAGGGTTGCGATCCCGTTGCCGGTCCCTGGTACAGGCGCAACACCAAGGGTTGTGATCCCGTTACCGGTCAGTAAAAAAGACAAAAAGGAAAAAAAAAAAAAAGAATAAGTAAATCTGCATTTTTAACAGTCTGTAAAATTCTCTGCAAAGCAAACAACAACAAAAACAAACAAAAACAACTGTTTGGAGACTCAGCTACCCGTGTATGGAAAGTCTGAGGAAACCACAGGTGGGAAGAGGTCATGAAGAGGTATGAAGGTCACATGACCTCCTCATGAAGAGGTCATGAAAAGCACAGAAGTATTCGGGTGGCATCACTCACCACAATGGTGGAGCATTTGGACAGCATCAGGAAAGAGCTATATGAATGAATTAAAAGCCCTGAAAGATGGCACGGGTGAGACAAGAGCCAGTTAAACCAGAAACTGTACAAGAGGCTAAAGGAAATGCACGGTTACAGAATCAAGTGGGCTTCTGCGAAGAGCCGTGGCACAACTAACTACTTGCTGAAGATAAGTTTTACCAAAGTCACTACTTAATTTGGGGACTAGATGCTGAAGTGCAACTGTCTTCCAGGAGGCTGAGAAGTGTGAAGGAACTTGTGTAGCACAGAGGTAAGAGAGATCCCCTTGAAACAGAAAGCTTGAGATGGTGTCCTGAGCAATACAGGCAGCAGCAATGCTATGTGGCCTCGTCGCCCAAGGACAATTAACAGGCAAATGCCATCACAAGATCATTTTTCCTCGTGGTAATATGACTGCATCACAACATTTTTCCAAGCATTAGATGCTTTCTCCTCTCCCTTCCCTAGTGGTACCTAAGTGATAGATTTGTCTGAGGAAAAAATGAGGAAGAGAAATGCTACTTTGAATTAATTCTTAAATGTAAGCAAAAATGAGGGAACAGTCACCCCACCAACTCCTGCCAAAAAACTCCATTGTTGTCTGAAGTGTGATTGCAAGCAATATGGGTAATGGAGTCATGTGCTGTCTTATTCTCTGCACCTGTGCATATGTGTGTGTGCATATTATATATACATAATATAATATGAGCACATACACATTTAGAAGAGCTGGAACAGCATGAGTGGTAATAAGAAGGCTTAAATGAAAAAAACTATGAAAGCTAAAAAATCTTTCTGCGAAGTTGCCTTTTATCTTTTCTCATTTTCCTTGCACCTGTGGTACATCGTATTAAAAATGCAAGAAACATACAAATCTGAAGAGTCACATTCTTGATAACAAGATGAAAATAAGAAGATCCTAACAGCTTATATTCACACTAAGAATATTAAATGGTCAAATAAGCACACTTAAAAAGTCCTTCCAGAGAGCAAGGAACTATTGTTTAGATGCCATAATTCTTTAGTAAATGGATGCTCCCAAATAGCTGAATGAGATTCTCTGGAAGTTTACATAGCCGCATTTCTAAGTGCAACATACTTTTAGAGATGAACATTAGGTGTTACTGTGCTTACTTAATAACAATATATGCTTAACTCTTGGTGCCAGACACAAAGAATTTCTGGAATAACGTGGATTTGTAAAATTTGACAATGTTCAGGTAAGCATGACAGATTCAGAAGCATAAAAGAGTTAATGAAGAACCCTTAGTTTTTATTGATAGGAACATCACTGTTTTGTGTCTTTTTGCCAGACAGTGACAGACAGCCCCGTGCTATTATCTTACATGAGTTCCTTGTTAGCAAACTAACAGTACTTTTGGACACTCTGCTTCATGTTTAGATGTCCAGGATAAAAGGCATCTACTACAATGCTTCAAAATTTACAAGTATGTTTATACATATGTGTGTGTATAGTACGTACGTATGTATGTCAAGTTCACTTGGGAAAATATCCCAACGTAAATTCGGCTCACTTATTGAGATGTGTTTTGTTTGCTTCGTTTTTTTGTAAGAGACACAGCATGAAATTAACTCAAAGATAAACCCAAGCTGATTATGATGCACTTGCTAGTTTAGGGCTTCACAAGTTCATAGAGGCTGTGGATGCAAATCACCGGAGAAGAGTATTGGCAATTAACTATTTAGACAACACACCCAGGAGGATTGGTTTAGGAACTGAGATGATTTAGCCAGGAGAAGAAAAGGATAAGGAACCATAGCAAAGGACAGCATTAGAGTCAGTAGCCAATTATCTGAGGGCATTGCCATGAGGATGGTGACTCCTTGCTGTTTGTCCACTATTTGCTATGTATGGCATTTTCTCTAGATAGCTTTAAAAATAGCATAGTCAATGTCCTACGAGACAGAGAAAGTAGAGTCTGCCCTGGAATGAAGGGATAACCCCAGACAACTTTTCAAGGTTCCCTTCCTACACCTATGTGAAAACACAGAATAAAATACCAGCATTACTCAGCAGACCTGGTTACAATAAGAGTGAATTAAAATGCAAGCATATACTGTCATTTCCTTACACAAACAAAACAAGGCAGGCTATCTGATATTGCTTTTAGATATTACGTGGTCAGCTATAGCAAGATGCTGTATGTAAATCTTTTTCATAAGTCAACGTATGAGCCCACAAATTCTCAATATAAATTGCCTCAGGAGGGGCTGCTCTGATGAAATTGAAAATGTCTCCTCCATATGTGCAGTTTCAGGCTTTATAACATTTAAAGAAAATGTTCTAAAAGATAAAGTTGGCATGTAAAAAGCACGGGAAAAGGAATCAGCAATGATCAGAGCAAAACAATTCTAGAAGGCATCTTAATTTTCATATGGCTCATTTGCATTTGAAACACTGAGAATTCCTATCTCGCTTGTACAAAAATGTGTATATATTAAATTACTTTGCACTTCAAAGAACATTTTCCTAAATGTTTGGAAGATGATCAAATTTTAACTGGAGGACTTGTTTTCTTCCATCAGGTGTGGGGGAGATGTGGCTTCCTGGTATGAGAGGCAACAGTTGATTCTAATAGCAGAACAAGACAAAAATAAGAAAGTAAATCGAAAACAATTCTCTTGTACAGTTTGATTTAAAGGTGGTAGAACAAAATGGGTACACATGGTACAAAGATGTCAAAAGACATCAATTTTAAAATTAAGCAGGGTTACTTTTCCAAAAATTGTAATCCTTTGCTATTTGAAAATTAGGTTCATTATCTGATCTAGGAGTCTCATGGTATTATTTACTTCAATACACTTATTTCTGAGTATCTATTCAGTGTTTAAAAGATACACGCTCACCAGCTATTAAACAATTCCAGGAGTATACATTCTACCCACCTCAAATTTCTAACAGCTAGGATATTGGCAGAACAGCAAAGGCTGAAAACCTATTTACTGTCAATGTCAAACACTATTTAGTCTTAAGGAAATTGTTGATCATCTACTCACAGACCTAGGGGCTGGGATCCAGGGAGAAATTTGAACTCACAATGTGAAACCCCACCAAATGAAAAGAAGTTTCTGTAATTTTTAGTTTATTTTCTGAACTGAGAAAATATCTAGGAAAGAGGTGTGTCCTCAGAAACAAAACCAGAATTTGAAAGGCATCTCTGTGCTACTCTTGACCTTGCTCTCTGGGGACCTCACCTGGAGGTGGCAGCAGTGTGGCCCTGGTCTCATGGTGGCTGCTGAAAGGGCCGACCACACACGGGTGGCTGGGATGCAGTTTACTAAGGACCGAGAAGATGACATCATCTCTGTAAATGAGATTATCTAGGTGCATGCTGCTCTTTGTGTTTCTTCTCCTTTTTGTGTCCCTGGGTCTTTTGGAAGGCCTGCAAAGTCCCTCATCTGTACCTGCTGGGCTACAAGCTTTGAAGGAAAGGCTAGCACAGCTGTGAACTGGAGACATAAAGGGTGAGCAGCATCCCCAACCCCCTTCCAGGCAAGGGCAGTGATAGATCCCCAAGTAGAAAGTGAATCAGGGGGACCAAGAGGCAAGGTGGGGCAGTGACACTGTTCACCCTCCCAGGCCAATAGCGTGAAATCTGGTGAGAAGTTTTTTAGGAACCAGTACTCTTTTATACACAATTCACACTGCATTTCAGAATGTAGCCTCAGACTTATTTGAACAAACCCAAATCTTTTTGTTATTTAAGTGTAAGTTGCATTGTGCTTGGCTTGCAAACATTAAACAGTAAAAGGAAAAATGGCCCATGTAATAAAATTTTGGATACCCAGAGATTTTGGATACACAAATAATTTAACATTTTATCTTATTGATTAGTCTGATCTTTCTCTCCCAATAGCTCATTTCTATTTGAACTATCAAAAGGTCAGACAAAAAAAGATCGCTTTCTTCCTTTCTGGAAGACATGCTAATGAGGAGATAAATGACTAAAAAGTAGATTATGGCAGAAGATTAAGCAAATGCAAAATGTGACTATTGTCAGCCTCGAATAAAGTGAAAATTACCATCTTTGTTTATTAATAAATAACGTTCATCTATCTATTTATTTGAATGATATTTATTAAGTAACTTCTATACATCAGATATTGTTCTTAGGAGCTAGGTCTACAAGGTGGGAAAAAACACCCAAACCCGAACAAACCTACTTCCATGGAGTTTATGTTTTAACTTCAAGGTTTTCTGGAACCAAGTGAAGGATAGTCACCTAACACACTGCAAAATTAATATTTGTCATAATAGTTACCATATTGGTCTGCAATACTGGCCTATTTTAGGATAGGATTTGGTTCCCAGATGTCTGGATTTCATCCCTTTGCATCTGGCAGAGCTTGTCCTTGGTTTCGAAGAAAAGCCTAGGAAAGGCAGATTTAGGTGCCTGCCATGGGTGAAAAGATGGAATAATCCAGTTTCCTTTATTGTACATCTGGAGGTTACAGAACAGTACCAAGATTTCTTTGTAATGCTGGCAAAACTCAGTCCTATTGTAATCAGGGTTTTGTTCTATCAAGTTGTTCTATTTTGGGTACATGATCTGGTGGGTGGGTATATCTAATCAGTGTAGCAAGAGTTGTGCAATAATTTGATTCAAGTGTTATTGGAATAAGATTTTGCAACAAGCGGGATATTTTCATAGTCTATGGTTTTATTACATCAGTCACCAGTATTTATTAAGATAAACAAGTACAACTAAACCGGTACAAAGAAAAATAGAAAAATGAAAGAAGAAAAAAGAATAATTTTTAAAGCACTTTAACTTTTTTTGAGCTAATGACATTTATTTTTTATTTTTATTTATTTTTAAATTTCTTTTTTTCACTTTAACTTTTGAACATAAGTACCTGCTGACGTCTTCTGTTTCTTCCCTCGGTACGTGCTTTTCTTTTAATTTGGTCCTCTTGAAAAGAATCAAAGTAGGAGCTCTCCAGGAGTTGGGCACAGGTTAATCTGTCATCTGGATTCATCTTCAGACACCCCTTTGGAAGAGAAAAGCAAAGACGATATTAAGAGAGAGGCTTATTTTGTTACTATGCCTAAAAACTCCAAATAACTTGACAAGTATGAATTTAGAAAATCTTCAAATTTGTATATTATCGAGTACTTAGAGTGTGTTAATAGCTAGAATTGCTCTTTGGCCACTTCGAAGTCTTTTGAGGGTAGAATGGATGACCATTCAATGTCTATGGAAGGGGTTACACATAGATGAGATGTTTTCACTAGTGACATCTTCTCATCACTAGTGAAAGCAAATCACTTGTAGGCATCTTCGGATTGTAGTCCCTGGACGAGCAGCATCAGCTTTACATGGGCACTGGCTAGAAGTGCAAATGCTTGGGCGCTACCCCACACCTGTCTAATCAAAAGCACTGGGGAGGGGCCCCCCCAATCTGTGCTCAACAAGCCCTCTGGGTGATTCTGATGCCCGCAGGCTCGAGTTTGAGAACCACTGGTTTAAGGAGATGGCTGAGGAAGTGTGAACCTCGGTAATGAGAAAAAAACCTAAAATGGGGAGAAACAGAAAAGGTGGCATTATGACCCTCTATATTCAAGGTCGTTAGAAGCCTCTGGTTCTGCTTCTGAGAGTGGGGAGGACTATGACAGCAGAGGGGCCAGTGGTAGTCCTGACACAAAGAAGTTTTCCCTGAGAAGCCCTGATGCTCTCCGGCCAGAGCATGGCGATTTTCCCATCTATAAACACAGATTATGATCCATAAAGAATTGGAGCAGCTTAGAGATGATGTGAAAATTCTTGCCTTGTGTCCATAACAGAGAAATAAGGCTTATCAACATCACCGCTATGGTTTGGATGTAGTTTGTCCCCACCAACACCCATGCTGAAATTTGATCCCCCATGTGGCAGGGTTGGGAGGTGTTTAGGTTATGGGGTGGATCTTTCATGAACAGATTAATGCCCTCCTGTGGGGGCGGGTGAGTTCTTGGAGGAATGGATTAGTTCCCAGAAGAGCAGCTGTTAAAAAGAATCTGGCTTCCTTGTTCTTCTCTCTTGCTTCCTCTCTGACCATGTGATCCCTACGCACGTGCCCACTTCCTTTCCATTTTCCACCGTGAGTGGAAGCAGCCTAAAGGCCCTTGCCAGATGCTACTGCCCAATCTTGGACTTTCCAGCCAGCAGAACTGTAAGCCAAATAAATCTCTTCTCTTTATAAATTACTCAGTCTCAGGTATTCTGTTATAGCAGCACAAAACGGACCAAGACAGATGTTGTTTTGAAGCGTTCAAGTGTCCAGACAATTGCATTGGCAGAGGCTGTGCAGCCATGGGCTGCCAGGTTTTATCTTTTCCTCCCTAACCCCAGCTGACCTCAGACCTCTGAAATCCTTGAGAATGCTGCCTGTGCTTAAGAATCACCTGCCCCTTGGAGCAGTATCTGATTAGGCCTGTTCTTCAAGAAACAGCCCTGCTCAGCATAACCAGACTCACCCGGCCCTCCACATCCACTGCCTGCTCCAAGCAGATCACCCCCTAATTAATAAACCATGCCACATAGTAACTCCAGCTGCTACCAGGAAGCAGTCTCCTCAAACCCTATAACAGGACAGAAAGACTATTTTGAATACAAACTGTGATAGTCTCTATCTCTTCGTCACTTCATCTGCCTTCTGCTTCCATCATTCCACTTAACATCTATGACCTCTACTTCCATGTTTTTAAACCCAGAAGGTATTGTGAGTTCTTGTCTCAATAGCAGTAGACACTATTGACCACGTCCTCCCTCTTGAAACTCTCATTGGCTTCTCTGATACGTCAATTTCCTTCCTCCTACCTCCTGGCCACTCCTTTTCAAACCAGCCTTTGCTAGTTTACCTCTTTCTCCACAATGGTTGGATGGAATTCCTCAAGACTCAGCCCCAGCCTTCCCTTTTTCATATCTGTTCTCAGTTTCTAGCTGATCTCACTGATGCCCATAGCTTCAGTCATCGAGGTTTACCAGAGATTTCCACATCTACAGTTTGATACTTTCTCCACAATGGTTGGATGGAATTCCTCAAGACTCAGCCCCAGCCTTCCCTTTTTCATACCTGTTCTCAGTTTCTAGCTGATCTCACTGATGCCCATAGCTTCAGTCATCGAGGTTTACCAGAGATTTCCACATCTACAATTTGATCTTACCAGAGATTTCCACATCTACAGTTTGATACCAGACCTCTCCTCTGAACTCCAGACCCACAAATGCAATTGCCTACTTAACTCTGTAGAGTCTCAAGGGCACTGTTATGTGTTGAATTGTATCCCCCACCCCCAACAATGTTGAAGTCCTAATTTCCCATACCTCAGAACGTGACTTCATTTGGAAATAAGTCTTTGCCGAGTGATTAGTTAAGTTAAAATGAGGTCATGATGAAGTAGGACGGACCCCTAATCCAGTTATGATTGGTGTCCTTATAAGAAGAGGGAAGACAATGAAGACGGACACACAGAGAGAACACCATGGGATGAAGGCAAGAACTGCAGCTGTGCTGCCACAGCCAAGGAGTGTCTGCGGCTGCCAGCGCTGGAAGAGGCAAG